CCCCAAAACCCCAAAACCCCAAAACCCCATAATGCTCAATTCAGTATATATTATTATCTCAAGAATAAAATAATTATTTAAGTTTTATTTATGTCCAACGGAATGCAGCATTCATCAGTTTCACCTTTAAACACGTCTAAAAGCAAGACACTATATTCTTTCACTAAGCAATCTCGCTTCCCTAAGGCTTCAGGACCTTAGTAAAATATTAAATTCCTTATCTCTATTAGTTGTGACTCTGTCTACAATATCCCAACAAGTTTTTCAAAGAGATCAACATCAATAGGCTATGGAAAGAGATTTGGCGATCTGATTAGGACAACAGTGGCTCCAAGTCCTCAACTTTACAACATTCCCTCAACAAAAGACACAAAATAATATACATTTGGTGTTTCCAGAGATAAGTTCGACAATGTATGATATTTGAGTGAAAAATAAAAATGTTTTTAGGTGTATATTAGGGAAAATCCGCCAAGAGATAAAAGTGTGCCTGGACCTGCAATGTATCAAATCAAGTCTGATTACACTTTGACATCTGCAGCTGCGTACTCAATGAGACCTAATAGTCACTATGCATCAATGTTTAACGACCCTACTGTAAAATTCCCAGGTCCAGGCACTTATGACGGCTAGGCTGCGACTGAAAACAAAAACGGATATACTATATATTCTAAATTTAGATCTCCTGGAGGAGCAATAATATCTAAAACTGGAGAGAGATTTGATTTGAGACAGCATAGGAAATCAGTCGATATTCCAGGACCAGGGTCATATCAATTGACTCACTTAGGTCCATCAATGCAGAAAAATTTTGGAGCAGTAGTATTTGGCAAATCAAGACGCTTAGTAGAAACTAAGGAAACCATCAAATGTAACTTTAGTAATATTTATACAATACCTATTTAGATACGCCAGGACCTGGGACATATAGAATTCAGAGTGACTTCGGATTTTATAATCCATCTGATGCCTTAGGGTCAAGTTTTAGTAGGACACAAAGTAAGATGTAAAAGACTACTCAGTGAGTAGGATGAGTTAATGAACAGTGAATAGCAGTTTTAGAACTTTTAATGGCAAAATATTTATGAAATTAAGCTAATTACTTTAATTTTATATCATTATTTTTCCTCAGATTCATTTAATTTAAAGATACTGAATAAACCCATGTGATCTGAAGGAGTTCTTACCTTTTAGTCAGTCTCAATATCATTTACATTTTCGCCAGCAAAAGAAGGAATGCAAAATAGTCCTATTCTTTGAATGAACTCAGCCTTCCATTTTGAGGATTTCTTTGCTAATATTTTATCTGGTCTCCATGCAGAAAATCTTGGAGTCTTTTACATCGTAAATGATTCAACTCCATTATTAAGAGTTAAGAAAACATCATCAAAGTCCTTGCTAATATTTGCTTGTTCAAGTTTCCAAGTGGAATTAAAATTGAAATCTCCCATTAAGAAAGCATCATCAACAATGCTAAGGATTGGAAATGAAATTTCTAGCTATTATTTTCTTATTGGACCATTCCCCAAGCTTTCAAAATGAGCAGTTGAAACTATGACAGGCTTGTCATTTATAATAGTTTCACACAACAACAAACTTCTGCCCATATTCGTCGGGAATTTCGCTTCATAAAATTTGCAAGGCCATTTACTCATAATTAATACTCCATAGCCCCCGTGAATCTCAGAGTTCGACAAAAAGTATTTATCTTGAACGAATTTTTCTTTGAAAAGCATCATTTGAAACTCGTAAATAACTTCTTATAAGCAGATAAAATCAGAATCAGATTACTCTATCATTCTTAACAACACTTAATATCTCTCTCTTTTGTAGAAACTCTCAAACCAGATGTTGTAGGTTACAAATGATATATATTTTACAGTTTCACCTTGCTTGTGATAAACCTTTTCGATATCGCTAACTCTGACCCACTAAGCTTAATCAATAACTTTAAATGCTACTGTTTCCACCACTTTAAATGAGCCTGCCTTATTTTCAGGGAGTTATTAAAGGTATAAATCAAGTAAATACATTTTTTTCTCTTCTCTATAAACTTTGTCTATTTAGACAATGTTATGAATAAGTTTGTCTGTTGGTATGTCTGTTTAAATATCTGGTTTAACAAGTTCAGGCTTGCCGTTAATCATAGTATCAACATTTATTTACAACTTAGGCTAGTTTCTTTAATTTTCCATTTTGAAATTAGATATAGCTTCTTTAAATTTAATTCATAATCTAATGATATTCTATAATAGCGGGGTTTTGGGGTTTTGGGGTTTTGGGG